TAAAACGATGAATATAATCAGTAGGTGAATATATATGATCTTATTATACGTTTTTAAGTTTGTACATCTCAACCTACCCATTTATGATGATTACCCATTATTATTACAAACTTTTTGACCTAGCTTCCCAATGAGAAGGCTTCGCTCATATTAGAATTAGCATGGCGTCACTTTGCTTTCATTCGAACCCACACCGCAGGGGTAGCTATAGATCTGTGAACGTGTGTGTGAAATTTCAGCCCAATCACTCAGAATTTATTGGTTCAAATGCCAGTTCGAAGATGTGTTTCTTCCCAACTGAATAGCATACTGATAGATTGATTCAAATTGAAGCTGGCAAAATACATTGAAGTTATTGACAAAGACATTGCAATGGAGTGTGCAAGGTGACCAAAGTGTCAATGTTTTGAATTCATCGGGAATGAAAAAAAAAGGTATAATGAATTCAAAACATTGACACTTTGGTCACCTTGCACACTCCATTGCAATGTCTTTGTCAAAAACTTCAATGTATTTTGCCAGCTTTAATTTGAATCAATCTATCATCAGTATGCTGGCATTTGAACCAATAAATTTTGAGTGATTGGGCTGAAATTTCACACACACGTTCACAGATCTATAGCTACCCCTGCGGTGTGGGTTCGAATGAAAGCAAAGTGACGCCATGCTAATTCTAATATGAGCAAAGTCTTCTCATTGGGAAGCTAGGTCAAAAGAGTTTGTAATAATAATGGGTAATCATCATAAATGGGTAGGTTGAGATGTACAAACTTAAAAACGTATAATAAGATCATATATATTCACCTACTGATTATATTCATCGTTTTAATTTAATATGATACTTGTTTTGCTAAAAGCTTTTTTTAAGGACAAAACACAAGCACTACAGGAAAATCCTTAAGGCGATTTCAGAGCGGTACCTGTGCGAAAGTAGCGATTCACATTGGATTTGAATCGCTGGAGACTGAATCTATTTGGAAAAACGTTCTCAGGAAGTTTATTTCACATAAAGACAATTCTCCAGATGAAAGAGTTTTCAAGCAGTTGAGTTTGAGATGTACTGGAATGATCCTAAAAACGATGAGCAACCACAGTCTGTCCCATATTTCTGATATATACCGCTCTTGGTGAAATCAAGTGTGCCAAGTAACTTGAACACTTGCCGTGAAAGTATCTATAGAAGAGAGACTAATGTCCAACTTTTCCTCGATGTTCCAGACTATCAAAGTTGCACGTGATGTTCGCGTCTGCATTCAGGCGGGTGGCTCTTTTCTGGATGGAATCCAGCAACTTCAGGGTATGTTTGGGGACAGAGCTCCATACACGAGAACAATAACCCAAAGAAGTTCTGATCTGAGCTTTATAAAGCATCAAACATTGCTGAGGTGTGTACAGTTTTTTGGTTCGGATCAGTGATCCAAGCTTTTGAAAAGCAGTGTCAATGTTTTGAATTCATCGGGAATGAAAAAAAAGGTATAATGAATTGAAATATTTTCCAGAGTGAAAGTAGGAGACAATTCTATTGAAATGGAAAATTGTGAAGGAGATGGATGTGCACCTCAGCCTCAAAATATATTGATCGAAGAATTTTTTCTAAATGATTATAGATACGATAATCATCAAAATGACATAATGCTGATCCAACTGGAGACTCCTGTTGAATTCAATGGTAAATTCAAATACATTTCCTCTTTCAAGTCTGCTTCTGGATAATTTCACAGAATTTGAGTTGAACAAATACAGAGTTTTGAGTATGCACTGATTTTTCGAAGTAAATGTATTATTGAAAATGAAATTTTTCTGCGATCCATTCAAAAACTGTTAAAGCATTTGAATTTTTCTGCAGGAAAATTGCACACATTGTACGAAAAGCAATTTACGAAATTTCATTTCAAAATATTCATTTTCTTAAAGGTATGTATATTTCTCCGATACACTTTCAGACAGATTTATTTTTATCATTGATGAATTGACTTATAACTATATTTTTGAATCGATTAAAATAATCGGTCTCAAAAACTTTATTATTACAAAAAACTTCAGGTGCTGAAAACTAGCAGTATCACACATTATTTGAAATAAATAGGTTTTTGAACTGCAAAAATAATATATTATTTTTCATACTTTCCACATAAAATGAACAAGCGCTTTGTTCACTGCAACGATACAACATGTAACCGAATGTATAAATATACTGAATTCGAGCATGTGCATAATACTTCTACTATTTTGGGTGATTAGTTATCATTGTGTTGTTAACTCCCTCATCCCCAGCACCCCCTACTTCAAAATTTTCGACGGAACTACTATATTTGTGAAACATCATTTTGAAGGGAATTCAATCCCAAATACATCGATGTACTGAAATTGAGGATCGATCAAGTATTGTTGAAGTTATAATGAAAACTAAGTTTTATGAAGATATTTTTATTTTTCACCACCTAAAATGGGTACGCCACTGTATTGCAAAATAATATGCATTCAGAAATAATAGTTTAGAAGATGATGCAGACGTTTTCATTGAAACAAAATTGTCACCATGTGTTTTTGTATACGCATATCTTTGTTTAAGCCTTAGTATATTGATGTATTGGATTAGCGTCATTCAACAATTAGAAAATTTCCGAAAATGGTTTATACTATACAAGAGAGAATATCCAGCTGCGTATTTTGGAAATGGACGATGTGCTAGAGCTACGGCTCGAATTTCCAATGAAATTCATCCAAAAGAAACCACATCATATCAGTACGTGATTCAATTGATGAATAAGTTCATGAAGTCGGAATCAGTGCTGAATAAAAACATGAACGAGAGAAGCCTATGAGAAATGAAAGGGTCGCTGTTTCAATTGTAGGACATGTAGTAATGGACAACTTCCAATATTTAAGATATTTCTGGAGTTTCTAAAAACAGCGTACATCAAATTCTGAAACAAGCAAAATTCCATGATTATACAATGCAGAATGTACAAGTAATAAATGAAGACGATCTTGACAGACTTACAGAGTTTTGTGAAATCATGAGTCATTTATTGATTGGTGATAATTATCGCTTCAATATATGCTTTTCTGCCAAATCTTCTTTTTCTTTGAATGCACATGTGAACAGGCACAACTGCAGATGCTGGAGTGACGTAAATCCCCATTGATACCTACAGGGAAACTCATTCATAAACTCCCCGGAAATTGAATGCTTGGGCTAATATTCTGGGAGACCATATTGTAGGTCCATATTTTATTGATGGTAACCTCAACGGACAAACGTATTTTGAACTTCTTGATACAACTGTGAACCCCAGAAAAACTCAGTTATTTGAAGACTCTGATGGTCTACTTGAAGATCAGTTGACTTTTCAACAAGATGGAGCTCCTCCAAATTTTGTTGCACCTGTACGTCAATTTTTAGATGACAATTTCACAGGGAAATGGATTGAAAGGCGGGGACCAATAGAATGGCTGGCTAGATCTCTTGATTCATCACCATTAGACTTATTTTTATGGGGTCATTCGAAATCCAAAGTTTATATTACACATCCAAATTCTCTTGATGATCAATGCAGGATAATTGTGGAGTGTCGTGCAGTGACTCCAGAAATGTTCACATTTTGAACCTTTCAAATGATGTTTCCATTTTAGGTGATGAAAAATAAAAATATCTTGATATTGACTTGATCAATTCTCAATTTGAGTACAGCGATGTACTTGAGATTGAATTTCCTTTAAAATGATGTAACATAAGTATAGTAGTCCCATTGAAAATTATGAAGTAGGGGTTGCTGGGGATGAGGGGGTTGACAACACAATAATAAAAATCGACGAGTCTGAGCGATGTTCATTTTTTTCACAAGTTCGCAGATTCGGGGGCTGACCAGTTTTAGTTGGGACACACTGTATGTGACCAAAAATATTTTGATGTGAAGTATTTCCAAGACGAATAGTAATTAGATCCACAGAACTTTATTCAGGACCGATTTCCGAAAACCCATCAACGACACGTGACTTGTCCCTCTCATATCATGTTATGCTAGTTCACTTTTGTTTTACTTCTACCACAAATGAAAAATAAAATATATTTAATGTGTCATAGGATAAAATGGTAGTTTTGACAAGTACACACTTTCAATTGGTGCAACAATTCCAAACATCTTTGGATTTGTTGTATCGTGATTGTCTAAATATATCTCCCAAGTAAAATATCGGTACCTTCGAATTTTATAATGTTTGTTGGTGTTAGTGTGGACTGCGTTGTGGATGAATATATACGAGGTCTTTTCAAGTAATAAGGTGAATGTTCAGGGGAGCCAAGATCAAAGAACGCTCGCCAAGTTCAATCAAATGGCAAGGTTCTGCTCACTGTTTTCTTCGATCACCGTGCCTAGTACATCAGAAGTTCATGTCACATTTTCGTACGGTCAATAATAAGCATTATCTTGAAGTTATGAGTCGCTTGCGAGAAGCAATACGTAGAAAGCAATTCATGATTGTTTCATCACGATAATGCATCTGCTTACTGATCGTTGCTTGTTCGTATTTTTTTGCCAAAATTAACACCTCAACCACTGTATCCACTAGATTTGACCCTTTACGACTTCTTCCTGGGGGGTTTTGCAATGATTGGGGAGATGAAAATCTAATTGCTGAAAAATGAGTCCTTGAGGAGTTCAAGGATTAGAAAAAACGCTGGCACAAGTGTATTATATGTAAGGGGAAAGACTTTGGAGGGGACAGAATAGATATTGACAAATGAATAAATATTTTTTAAGGAAAATGAAAATTCACCTTATTTTTGAACTGACCTCTTATAATACCTCTCTATTGCAATAGAAACTTTTACCCACACCTTATCATTTTAAATACAGTTAATTTCCGAAACAAGGTTGAAAATATTTTATTCAATTATTTTTAGACTACGTGAAACCAGTTTGTTTGCCTCGTGGTAATCTTTTGGAAAATAACCTCATGGGAAAGTATTTCACGGTAGCTGGATGGGGAAGAACTACCAATGGAAATGATGGTAAATATTCCAAAAAACTGAGATATTTCTCTGGACCATTAGTGAACAATGATATTTGTGACCGAATATATAAACATCTAGTCGGCAATGCGATTACCTTTACTCCTGTCGTGCCCTATAACCCACCTCAGGATAATGTTATTATCTACCGAGGCTTTGGCTAAATCTTGGTGATACTCTAGTACTAGCCCTGAAGTTATACGTTGTCTGTTCAAGGCTAATAGGGTTTGTCTACTGTCAGTGCAGATTGTTATGTTTTTACCAGAAATTCCATTCTTGGTTAATTCTCTTGTGGTGATTGAGATACCAGCCAGGTGTGTAGTTTCGCATTTGCTTGGTAACATACTGAAAAGGTATCCAGCGTTTGTTTGGCAAAGCATAGATGTCAATAAAAGGATCTGATAAGATTGAACCTCTTGTAGCGCTCTCTCTCTTGCAAGAAAATCAACAGCTTCAATACACACAGCCCACTGTGATCAGCAGTCCAGATTAGAGATAATTTGTGTGGTCTTCCTTTGAGGAGTGAGGCATTTCACGACCAGTTTGAACATTGCTTAGTGAGTGCCAAGTGCTTCCAGAACTGTTTGAATATCGATATTTTCATTAATTTGTGTGCGAGATTGGTTTCTGTCAATTTCTCCACACATGAATCAATTCCGTAGATCTTATTGTTTTGTTGAAAAATATCATATCAATGATAACAAGAAGATCGAATTAGCTTCCCTTGATAAATTTCGATTTATCTATAAGTAATATCTGGGCTGATTAGTCTCGGGCCTAACACATAGATGGCGCAAGTCTTTTTAGATTCACTGCTTCTTCAGTTGGTACTAACCTTCAAAAGAGAGTTGTTGAAATTTCGTTATATTCTACTCATACGTTTGTGAGTTATTGTTGTGCTAAAAGTGATACTATTTTTGTTATTTTTGAAACAATGGTTCAAAAACAATTTCGTATTTTAATTTTACACTGCTTCTTGAAGGGAAAAATACTGTTCAAGCGAAGCAACGGCTTGAAGAAGTATTATAAGGACTCCGCTCCATCAGAAATAACAATTAAACGTTGGTTTGCTGACTTCAAACGTGATCGTCGATGATGCTGAACGCAGTGGACGTCCAAATAAGTCGGTGACACCACAAAACATGAACAAAATCCACAAAATAGTTTCGACTGATCGAAAAAAGAAGTTGCGTGAGTTAGTGACATTGAGAAGATATCAAAATGTTGGCTTTATATTGCATGATCATTTGATTAGTGGCTGCCGCGCCAGCTCTCTGTTGACCAAAAACAAGAACGTCTTGATGATTCTGAACAGTATTAAGCCATGTTTCAACATAACAAACCTGAAGTTTTGCATTGATATGTGAAAATTGATGAAACATGGATACATCACTTTTCTCCGGAATCGAAACGATCGTCATCTGAGTGAAGAGCAACTGGTGAACATCGTCCAAAGCGTCTAAAAGCACAACAATCGGCTGGAAAAGTTAAGGTCTTGGTAATTTTGGATGTGCGTGGTGTGATATTCATATTATATAGCGTTATTGGAGCGTTTGGAGGCCGCATATGGCTGAGGAAAGTATGTTGTTTCATCAATACAACGCATCGTGTCACAAGTCAATCAAAACAATGACAATACTACACGAATTGATTGCCCCCACATCCACCGTATTAGCCACATTTGACTGCCAGACTATTTTGAGGCAAAAGATAAATCGTTTCACAAAAGTGGCATTGAAATGTTAGAGAGGAGCTGGAATGGTTGTGTGGCTCTTGATGCATAAAGCCAATTTTGAACAAAAAAACGTGTTTTCTTCCTTGGGCCCGAGACTTTTCAGCCCATGGTGTTACTCATACAGGGCGTTCCAACGAAAACTTGACCTCCCTGTAAGTCAGAAACGGACGTGTCATCGAAAATTTCAAAAAACACGTCAATTTTTATTTCTAGGGGGACTGATTCTGATATGGAAATCATACCCGAAACTTCATCCCCAGTAACTACCCCCTCTATTTTTTTCAATGGCATGGGGCGTCGAGCGATACATCATTTGAAAGGTATTTTGTCTTTCTATTACTTCTGTAATTTTTTTCGATATTGGTTCATTCGATATTGAGAAACTAAATGTTGAACGTATTATTTAGGAAAAAACAGAAAATTCGTTGTCGTTCATTCTAATGGGGAAATCAACAACAAATAATATCAGTGGAATCGAAATTAACGGATAAATTGATTGAATTGACCTCCACCTAGTTCCATACAGTAATACAGTTCACCTTCGAAAGCATTCCTTACATTACTGAAGATGTCCGGAATATTACTAGAGTTTTTTCCCAACATCAAATCGTTATTTTTAACACCTCGACACGTGTTTCAATCACCAAGTGATGATCTCCAAAGTGGAAGATTAAACTAGAAACTAACGCGAATTTATGCTATATAGATATCCCACCATCCAGGTGTACCATCAATACAGGTATACCAACCTGAATTAATTTTACAATTTTGCCTTATCTATTATTTCACAATATATGTTTAACTGTTATAGTTGTATATAAAAAAAATCAGCTTTATAAAAAGTCGCCCATCATATTTTGCAACAAAACCATTCCATAGACTTCAGTTCATTGAGATTAGTTAGACAAGTTAACAACAGGCAACTAGATGCCTATGCGAGTGAAGAAATAAGTACACAATAATATTATGAATAACGATGACGGACCCATACCAAAGAGCATACTATATAGCTTGTTAAAATATTGAGGTAGGCAATATTGTGAAATTAATTTTTATGAAGCTGAAAATTCTTTTATATACAGCTATAACAGTTAAACATATATTGTAAAATAATAGATAAGGCAAAATTGTAAAATCAATTTAGGTTGGTATACCTGTATGGGTGGTACATTTGGATGGTTTACCTGTATGGGATATCTATATAGCATAAATAGCGTTAGCTTCGCGTTAGTTTCTAGTTTAATCTTCTTTGGAGATGATCATTTGGTGATCGAAACCCGTGTCGAGGTGTTGAAAATAACAATTTGGTGTTGGAAAAAACTCCAGTAATATTCATTACTACACCAAAGGTTCCAAACAGTGCATCATAAGATGTCCGGAGTCAGAAATCGGCATTCTCGAACAATTCTCTGTCGCAGGTTTCCTAGATTTGTAGGCTGAGTAGAGTACACTTTCAACTTCAGGTGTTCCCACAGAAATAAGGCTATCGGTGTGAGATAAGGTGATATAGCTGGCCACTTCGCTGAAGTTTCGAGTCATTCTGTGACATATGACATTTTGTGCACCTAACCTATCTTCCTTTATATAAATAAATAACAAAACAACTGTTGTTTATGTGGCTTGTGGAGGTGGTATTGAACTATAATTTATATTTTGCCTTAATTGTTGATTTATAAAGATAATTTTCCTTTTTCAAAGTAGAATATCTAGGTACGTATAAATTATTTTAACTTGATATAAGCGTTGTTGCCAATATGTGAATTAGAAACAAACCTTTTTGAAAATTAAAACCCAACATTTGAAATATCAATTTGAATACTTTTCGAAGTGAATTTGAAAAACTCATTAATCAAACTCAACTTTATTTTGTTCAAACTTGCATTTGCTGTAATAACCCAAATTGGTGAACGTTTCCCATTATGTTTATTCACTTCACCATTCAACATGAAAGAACTCTCCTCTGAAAAACATGTATTGCATAATATGTTTGGGTTATTGGTCAATTTCTCGCTGAACATCTCAAAAAACAGAAGTCGACGATCAGGATCATCTTCATTCAATTCCTGAACTAGCCTTATTTTCAAAGGATGGAATTTGTAGGCCTTCAAAATCCGAAAAACACCAGTAACTGATACACCAGACGCTCTAGCTACTCGTCTGATAGATTGTCGATTATTCTTTTGTACATGTCCTAAAACTGCAGCTTCAACTCCGTCATTTCTGACAGGACGGGATACTTCATGTTTTCTGTTATGAACAGAACCTGAAGTTCTGTTTAACGTATTGATGGCTCACGTTGTGGTCTGGATGATTCGCATTATAAATTCTTGCAGCAGCTTCAGCACATTCATTATTTCGATAATAGGAACGCAAATAATTTCTATTGTTTCTTCAGTAGAATGAACCATGTGGGAACACAGTGAACAACGATGACTGAATAATAATCGTGAAGAAGTGACGGGGTCCAACTATCTACTTTTTGTTCTGCGACAACAAGATTCAACAAAAACTACCAGTGCAGAAAAAACTAACAGTTTCGTCCAATTTAAAACGTTCACTATTAATTAAATGAATTCTACAAATCAAGAAGACCTGCGACAGAGAATTGTTCGGGAATCCCGATTTCCGACTCCGGACATCTTCAGTAATGTAAGGAACGCTTTCGAAAGTAGACTGTTTTATTGTATGGAACTAGATGGAGATCGTTTTGAACACTTCATCCGTTGAATGTGTTGGCATTGATATTACTTTTGTTGATTTTCTCAATAAAATGAGCGACAGCGAATTTTCTGTTATTTCTTAAATAAAACATTCAATATTTAATTTCTCATTAACAACTGAACCAATTCTGGAAAAAATCACAGAAGTATCAGAGGAACAAAAGACCTTTCAAATAATGTATCGCTCGACCCCCCATACTATCGAAAAAAATAGGGGTGGTAGTTGATGACCACAGGGGGGTGAAGTTTCGGGTATGATTTCCATATGACAATTAGCCCCCCTACAAATGAAAATTAACATTTATTTTGAAATTTCCGATTACACGTCCGTTTCTGATTTACAGGGGGGTCAAGTTTTCGTTGGAACGCCCTGTAGGTAAGGAATACAAGTAAACAACAGCAATGATAACTTTACACCAACAGAAAGTTGATCATTTGAAATAATGAACAGCGTTTTAATGAAAGTCAAAAGGGAAAGAGAAAGCTTCATTATGCTGTAACTGAAAAGACGAATTGTAATTTTTGTTCTTTTTCATTTCCTATTC